TTCCTAAGTATGTTATTCCTTTTGCTATGATAACAATGATATTATTTTCATCATTCCCCTTTCTGCTAGTTCATTGTTTGCATATTGAAATTCATATTTTTGTATGTTGATTTTATAGCCTGAAACTGTACTATACTCATTTATTAGTTTTAACATTTTTTTAAGTGGTGGCTTTAGGGTTTTCCAAAAATAATACTATGTTATCTGCATGTAGTGACAATTTTACTTCTTTTCTTTGAGATTCTCGTTAATCATTTTCCTTCTATTTGATTATAAGTTTTTTTCCCCCTAAGATTAGTGCACAATCCTTTTCACTTTCTTTTCTTCTATATGACTAACCATCTCTTCTATCAATCATTTCCAATTGGCAACTCTGATGCCGGGCAGCAATTTACACAGCTAAACTCAGCTTTGGTTTTCCATAAGGGCTTGTAAGGTAAAACACTGTAATCATTAGGTCCTGCTCTAAACTGGCAGGATGTGACAGAGAATCTACGATCCGGGATAAGGCCAGTGTCAACTAACTGTGACATTCCATCAAATAGAGCATCCTTAATGTCATGGAGAGTTACTCTCTGCATGGGTGATAAAGTATTGCTGTGCTGACAGGCTCTTGCTTAACTGTACTCATTGGCCTTGGTATGTTCATGCCAATTCATTGCTTTATAACAGATTGGCTCACATTGAAAATGAAGATTCAATTTGAGATTTTATTGTTAACCTTTAAGGTCCTTGGAGGCTCTATTGGGCTCCTCTGCCGACAAGAGCTAACTGAAGTTTATGCTCCCATTTGTCGGTGTCTATCAACCATGATTTTACATTGACATGTCCACATCCATCTCCCATGCCTTTCTAACAATTGCTTAACATAAAAATTACTTATTTTCAGATTTGAATAAAATCTGGATACTGATATCCCATACTTGCTATACTTTCTAGTAAAGTTCATTTTTGGATATCAACTTACTTGACTTTCTTTTTATGCTTGATGGCATTTTTCCTATTTTGTATTGTAACGTGAATCTGAACAGAAGTAGAGCAAGGTCTTATGAAGGGTGACTGAGCATACCACTCCCAAGCCAATCATGGAAATAGCTGCCAAATTTCTCTTTTAGCTTTAAAGCCTACCAGATCTGAGGTGCTTTGACTTTGTTAAAATAAATGATTACTGCAAGTTTGAAATGAGTCTCAGGAGAGAAGCACAAGAAAAAATTGGACATACTTGATTTGAGGGAACATTATGAGCTACTAAGCACTGGACTTGACCAGAGCATAACTAGAATTGAAGTATTTATTTTAAGCCTGTGATACTTACAATTTACTAGGCAACAATGGCATCAAGACACCTTAAGGAATGATGACACCTTTTTTAGCCACGTCTCAGAAGCTCTATGAAAGTGAATTGGATGATACATGCAAAGCAATCTCAGCTTCTTTTTGATGGAATGTTTTCTTTTTCTTTTTAAAGTACCATAATGGGTACATGAGGTTCTCTGGATTATTTCACTTTGCTTTATACTCTTTTAAGGCAAGTATATAGGCAAGAAAAGAGTGCATTTTCCTATAAATGAATGAACTCATAATTAGCGGACTGGGTTGCATAAAAAATACTTCTGTTCAGAGAGATTTTTTTTAATAAATGCAAATATTTCAAGTTTTTCATGTGTGCAACCTAGATTTCTGGAGGTTTGGGCTGTTATCCAGGATAACATCAGGTATGCAGAGAGGTCTATTGTACTCTGTATTGGCAAAAAGCTTACTAAAGACAAGCTGAAAGAGTGATGGCATGTAGCCCATTCTACTGTCAATTCCCCAGCTTGTTTTTCTGTTCCTTCCCCTTTCTTTTGTAAAAAGAACAAAACAACCTATCTCTATTAGAAGTTTTAATTTTTCAGTATTATTTGTTATGATAGGCAGTATCAGTGACTATGATAGTCCACCCTGCCCAGATTCTAAAATGGTGTTTTTTTCAGGCTAAATTTTATTATGGACAACTAAGAAATTTAAGTGTGTGAAATGTTAGAAACAGTATAACAGTACATAAGTGAGTTCTATATTATGATTACTTTTGACAAATTTTTCCATACCAATAGAGTTCTAATAAGTGTGGAAAATAGTATTTTTTTTTTGCTTAGCAGAAAGCGTACAACTTAAATAGTAACACAACTAGTTGAAAGATTCTGGTGACCTCATAGCAGAGTGGAAGATTTTATTTTGGGAAATGTACAACGTTATTATGAAATGTGTCAGATGTCTTCGATTTCTACTCTAGATCTTCTCTCCACATTTCTCCATTTGCTTTCTGCTCTGGGAGGCTGATCTTTTGGCTTCTCACTGCGTTCAGTCAATGGAGACCCCTTTCAGGAGATCGGTAGAAGTGAAAAGATTGAGGACATGTATCAATTTCCTGGTTCCCTCCTGGTGAGTCCTTTTGAGCTGATAGTGTACATTCTCAGAAGGTAATTGCTTCTTTCAAGGTGGGTTCATTCTATACCGTGCTTTCCTCTCACATTCTCATAAACAGGTCTTTGCCTGTTTCTTTAGGCCTCGGGAGTTTGTAGCTCAGACGCTATCAGCCGAGTTACAGTTACACACACACACACACACACACACACACACACCTTTGAAAATTCTCTTCATGAATAAACCTTCCTTAAATTATCCCATCTGTTTTATGTTTTTACACATTTACAGATACATGGGGCAATAGAAAATTGGAGAGATGTTAAACATATCAGAGATATCAGGAATAATATGTTTGGAAGTAAATTTTGTTCAAAGGGTGATTAGAAACTAGAGGTGAGGAGTAAGTCTAAATATGACTCTATCATTAGACAAAAGATAATGAAATGTGCAAAAAGATAATGAGTATCTTTGAAAAATCAGAAGAACTAGTATATGGTGACTAGATGAAATTAAAGTGCTTCTATAGAGAACAGGATTTTTAGTTTATTTGTGGAAATAGGAAGGTAGGTTTTCATTCAGTTTAATAAAGTTTTGTGTAGAAATGAAATGTTCTGACTCATCAGAAGTTAATATTTCACTATAAAACCAATTGAAATAGTGGTAAGGGAAATTTTTTGAGCTAAAAAGAGAAAAAAAACCTTGCATTGGGAGAAATAGTGGACTAAATAAGTTTCCTTCCAACTCAAAGATTCTGTGTTGCCATGATCTCAATGTAAGCCAAATAAAACTGTTTTTTAATGGCTTATTTTAGGATTATAATGAAAGAAAGAGACCATAAATTGCAATGCAAGCTAAAAATAACTACAATCTTTAAAAAAAATTCTTAGATACCATATAAATGTTTAATAAATTATTTACATCAAAGACTTCTTAAATTCTCTTTATTCATACCTCTCAAAACAGCCTCTGTTAACTCTTTTTGGTCTAATCACACATCTCTCCATCAATAGTCTCCTAGCTGTCGTATCCATTAAAGTATTGTCTTCCTGCTGTCCCACCAAACCTTTGTTATCTAATTTTTCTCTCTCTACTTCAAGATAATTCCCTGGTCTTCTTGATTTTCCTCTCTACTCACTACACCAGATATACAACAGAGTGGACACAGTGATGGAAAGAGCTATGTTGGCAGTGTCTAGGAGGTGAGGAAAAGGGTGGTGTGATTGGATGGAGAGCTTTGATCCATTAAAAAAAATTGTTCTTCTCAATTAGCTTCTTTAGCAAGTAAGATATCTAGAATACAAGCATATTTCTTTTACTATATCATGTTCGATATGCTTTACTAGTTGAAATACATTCTCAAACAGTTGAACAGTGAAGAAACCAAGTAACTTCTTAATCCAAGTCAAGTCTTATACCTGAAAATATAGTAATACAACAATCATAAACTTGTAAACTATCAATGGTAAAGATAATGTTTTATTATTTTATTCCTCGTCCACAGATATGAATATAATGCTGAGCCTATAATTGATTGCTCAATTTAGTTCCATTAAATAAATGGAATTCTCATCCTTATTCTAAAAGAATATATCCAGGAAGAACAAATAATATATTTTCCTAAGGACAAGCCATCTTTTACATAAAAGCTATTTGTGTCAGTAGAATTTAATTCTTATTATTTAACCGTTTTTCACTTTTGAGAAGTTAAACTTGCTTAATGTGCTTTGTGTTGTTCCTATATAGTGCTCTTTAAATGGGTATACTGCAAGTCATGACTCCTTCATGAATTCACATTAACTAGAAAAGAGAAGTTTGTTGATGATATATTCTGCTACACTATAAAATACTATAATAGATGTTATCAAATTTAAACCAGATAATTTTATACTAAGCAAAGATAATTTTTTTGTGTGATAGTTTGCAGTAAAAGTCTTGTGAATTCAATATTCTGCAACTCAAAACATTTCTCATATTTTAATTTTTTTCAAACTGTCAAATTGGAAAGAATAGAGAATTTAAGGCAGTGAAAAGTAAAGTATTTGTTTCCACATTGCAGTTGGGCACAGCAAGGCAGATAAAGGTTAATCATGACTGAAGTACACGCAGAAAATCATAAGGCAACACTCCGAAGGAACTGTGACACATTTCTATTAAATGGCAATGATTTTCTAAAGCTGCCATAGAAATACATGTATTTTCAGAGAAAAGTGGTGATTTTATTTTAATCCTTTACAATAAACATCCATTTTAACATGAAGTCATTAACATTTTCAACAGATGCAATAGCCGTGATAAATATGAATGACTTTTATATATTTTTAATTTTACTGCAGTTTACTTAGTTGAATCAGTAAGGTTTATTATTGCTGCAACTCCAAGTAATATACTCCAGTTGCTCCTCTTATGCCCCACCCTGAGCACAAATAAATCCCCATTATTTTCACTTTTATAATTTCCTGCAAAGTCATTCTAAATTAAAAAATAATTAGATTTGCCACATCTATCAGATTAACTTCAAACTGAGAATTCAGGATAAACTATGGTTTCCATTATCTCCCCCCTTGCCTCCAATGGAATTCTCACCTTGAAGCTACTCTATGCATTTGCTTCAAACAGGATTCTCACTTGCTGGACTTGGAGCATCAATTGTATAATTCAATACAAAAATTATCCTGTAAAAGATTATTTCTGTGAAGCATAAGATGAGAAAAAAAGGGTGTTACCTTAACAGCTGTAAAATTTAGCACTTTGTCTTTCTTTGTGGCTACACAAAGCCAAACATCCAGATGCAAAGTGATCATTTCAGACGATCAGCAGGGAGCCTTCAAACCCTAGGAGTTTGGTGGCTGATAAACAAAGCGGCCTGATTGAGTAGGCTATTCTCTTTGCATCTGGATATTTTGACACTACCCAGACATAGCCTTTATCATAACATCACCAAATATAAATGTGAGGTATTTGGTCCAATGATTGGAGGTGGGCAAAATGTGCAAAATTATTCTCATTCACTGTGATTCCTCAACATTGCTCATCCCAATTGCTTAGAACGTTTGAATCATTAAAAAACAAACAAACAAAAAACCCAAAACCAAATTGAAGCATACTTACATATTTGAAAAAAAATTACCTTAATAAATGAAAACAATGCTCCTACAATATCTTTGTGAAAAGCAAATTTCTTATAATTTTACTAAAACCCATCTTAAAAAAATTAGGTATCATATTTTGTTGGGGAAATCTAGTTCTACTGTTAGGAAACTGAAAGAATTCCCTTGTTCTTATTTATTCCTACTCCTAAGTTTTGTTTATTGGCACTTAGGCACAGCCTGAATAAAGTATATCGTATTTACAATCATAATGGATTTTAAACACACTCTTAGCCAAAACTTTCAACAGTGAAAAATGCAATTTAAAAAACAAATCAGCTTTGTCAAAAGACTGTTCTCTTTCCCCAGTGCAACCTCTTAGCAGTGTTATCAGGGCTTTCTGCTTAGCCTTGCAGCAGAAAAAGGAGGACCAGACTTGGGTTACAGAGAGGGACACAAGGACACCAGGATTAACAAAGCAGATTTATCAAATAATATTTTCCGATGTCAAAATTTGAGTTTTATAATATTTAATGGAATTATATTCTGCCAACAATTTGGGGGCATCTTCCATAAGAAGCTTCTCTTTTTTATTTTGTTTAGCCAGATGAACGCTCAAGAGAGGCAGCTTTTATTGTCTCTCTAGCCAGTGATGTACCTAGATGCTGGTCAAAGAGGACTTTAGCTTCCAGTAATCTTAACCCTTTTATGAGTGCAAATTGATCACTTAACATTTTTTGAAAAGTCCATTTGGTATCTGACCTGTTAACCTTCATATGACGCCATGACATCTTAAAATCAGAGAAACTATTAGAAAAATTATGTCTTAAATATGGACCTTTGTATGTTTCACACATTCTCTTCTCCAGTAGTTATTACCTAATAACTTTTGACACTGGTGATTAAACATAAAGTTTTACATTTTATGATTCTCTTTCAAACACACAATTGCTAACATATATATCAAAGCAAAAATTAAGCATTCTTAAAGAGTCTGTAATTATATTTATACATTAAAATGTCAAGTGGGTAAAATGAATAACTTCAAACAATATTTTAATCTAATTATTTTAAAACAAAACAATTAATCAGTATTTTATCATCACTCCTAAATAATTTCATTTTTAAAAGAACCAGAAAGGGACACTCACATCTTTTTAAAAAATTAATTTGAGAGGTGAATAAGATTAGGAAAATTCAGTTAATTATTTGAGATTTTCATAATAGCATCATATTTTTCTGATTAGAGGGTAACCTCTAATCCTTTAAAACTTGATTACTAAAACATTTATTATGCCATCATTTATTCTTGAATCTTCAGTATGTGAGGCCCCTTCTAGGTTTTAAGTCACTGTTAAAGATTTCATTATTCAAAAGACAAAAACTCCACTTCGGATAGTTGCATATGCTCGTAGACTATGCTCAGCTCAGATTAGGAGTCCTTGGAGCAAAGTTTATCTTCTAGACATCCCAGCTGTCCCTTTCTGTGCTTTCCCCCTACTTGGGAATAAGTAATATCTATAGGTTTTGAGTGTCCTCATGATATCTCTCTACTCTATAAGTAAATTGCTCCTGTGAATGGCTAGCATTAAAAAGTTAACCATATACCCCTGGGCAAGCTAAAGAAGTTCTTTGCAGCTAAAGATGTGCCAGCATCAACATCGTCAGTAAGTCTGGGTAATTCCTTTATTCAATAAACAACTGTACAACTCTAATATCCTTGGTAGAGAAGCTAAAAAAAAAAAAAAGATGAACAAAATATTTTTCTGTATTTGAAGGATCTTTCAATCTAGTTATATTAATTAAACATAAAAATAACTTCGGTATTTCAACCTTTTTAACCAAGTCTTTTTGCCTTATGGGTAGCTTGTAAACTACTCCTATAGGATCATGATCTCATAGTAACCTGTGATTATCATTACCAATGCCCTTAAAATACTTTATGTGTCTGTTGACTGTAATTGTGGAGTCCTTGAGGCCAGTGACTATCTTTTTTTCTAAATATCTAATGGGTCTCAGTAGGTTTTCAGGGCTTGTGTGTTTTTAAATAAATGGTTATATAAATATATCAATTAGTTATTCAAACACTTTCTGGATGCTATCCATAGGAGGCAGGAATTGAAGTTGTCCACTGCCAAAAGAAAAGAGAAAGCAAAAGAAACAGACAAGAGAAATATCTGTATAAAAGGGACAGAAAGAAGAGGAGAAATGTGTAATTGATGAAAATGGTCAAGAGGCCCACATTAGCCTAACAGACACTGAATTGTTTTTATACAACTTGAAATACCTGCTTATAAAACTGATTTTGAAAAAAATGCTTGCCCTATTACTAAGGAGCCTTGAAAACATTCCTAAGAAAAAGTAAATCCCAAAATATGTGATGATATAATGAGTGGCGATGAGAGACTATAATCATTCAAGTCAAATGAATAAGAAAATTTGAAGATCTCAGAGCTTAGCATTATACATAAAAGGCTAATTCATCAGAAGTACTTGCAGAGAAAGACATAATACATGATATGACTAATATGTGGACTCTAAAAAAGCAAAACTTGTAAAAAATGGAGAATAGAATGATTGTTACCAGAGCCTGGAATGTGGGGAGATGTGGTTTAAGGGAACAAACTTGTGACTAGTAGATTAGTAAGTTATAGAGATCTAATGCAAGGTGTCATGATTATAGGCAATAATACTGTCCTATAGACTTCAAAGTTGCTGAGAGTAGATCTAAATGTTCATACCACAAAAAAATAATAATTATGTGACATGATAGAGTAGTTAACTAACATTATAATGGTAATCATATTGTAATATGTAGACATATCAAATCTACAAGTGTATACCTTAAACTTATGCAATGTTATATGCTAAGTATACCTCAATTAAAAAAGATTTTGCCTTATATTTGGAAAATTATTAAAGAAAATGTACTATTATTGGCCAGACTCTAAGGATGTTTTGCAGCTTATTCCTGATTCTAGTAATTGAGAGAAATTTGGTTTCCAAGTAATAAAACTTGATGGTATTACTTAATTATACCATGATTAGAAATTAAAAACAAGTACTTGATATTTTAGAACCATTCTTCTTTTAGATAATACTTAATTTTCTGCTGTTTTAAAATCCATTAATTATTTTCAGCTGTAGGGAAAAAATTCTTATTTTGCTCAGTTGTAGTATCTCATGAGGCACAATTTGCCTAACTATAAGTATTTATGTTTCTTTATATTCCCTAAGTATACTGCCAATGTATTTGGGGACATATTGCTCTTGGGATTATTATTTTAAAAATTAATCTCTGATAACTCTTTAGGGTTTGGTTGAGAGGATCTTGAAAGATGATATTTATGACTATTTATTAAATCCTATACATTTTATGTATCATCTAATTTAATTTGCATTATAGATCTTCAAGTTTAATTTTTTTTTAAAGATTTATTTATTTATTTACACAAGCACTGGGTACAGTCAGAAGCGCGGGAGGGTGAGAGAATTCACCAGAGCCAGAGCAGGGAGCAGAACAGACAGACTGATGAAGTACACTGCTGAGTGGAGCAGCGGGCACAGCAGTATGTAGGACACTATGTGCACCATGTAGGACACTCGCTGGTGGCTAGGGATTGAACTGGTGCTGCAGAGGTTGTGGGCAGCTTCGCAACCCAGCGCTCAACTGCTGCGCCACCGGGGAGGCCCTTCAAGTTTAATTTTTATTGTTATCTCTGTGCTATAATTTAGGAAACTGAGGCTTAGAGATTAAATCACTGAAAAGGGAGGTCACCCATAGCTCTTCAGTTGTAAATCCTAAATTTAAACTCAACATCAAATTTCACATTCTTAACCACAAGATATACTGATTCCCTTAGCATTTTGAAAGTTGTTTCAGTCTAATTAGTTACAGTACAAATGTCCATCAGTTTATTTGAAGCATAATGAATTATAAATACTTATTAGAAGAGTTATAAAAGCATAGAGAACAAATGTGTATGCTTATTGAAATCGAAGCTCAGTCTTGGTATCCTTTGAAATGATTTTATGTGCTGCTGTGCAACCACCCTGGGTTAGGTAGTTTCATTGTCAATTCTCGCAGAGGAAAAAAGAAATTTTGGAGACTTCAGTGGATTTTGCAGACCTTTAATGCTGAAAAAGAGGACTGTATACAAAAGCAGGCAGAGAGAGACTGAAACTCTGCCACTCTGAGAGAGGCAGATCAGCAACTCAACTTCTACCCCCCTTTAACCTGTTAAGTGCCCAATAGCCACACAACTAATACAGTGTTGGGCATTGCAAATGCAAAGCCCATCTGTTGTTTGTTGGGTATTCAAAAGCTGGAAAACATAGCATTTCAAGGTTATGTGCTGCCTTGTTGTGTGGATGGCGAAAAATAGTCTGATTTTAACTCATTTTCCTTACACATGTTTTTCTGGAAATGAGTATTGATTAACAAAAGAAGTGGTATTATTGCAACAACTAGTATTAATATTTTCAATTACTGCTGCTGACAATCATCAATTTTGGTTGTGCTTCATCATCCTCAGGTAATTTTATAAATGACCAGTTAGTTGAATTTTCAAATTTTATTTATTTAA